CCCCCTCGAGACTGTCGCTGCAGGGCTTGGCAGTTTTCTCTTTGGTGGCCGTGAACTCGGATACGTCACTCGGCTTAGAAAACATCTATTTCAGCATCTCTCTGCTGGGTGGTGAGGTTTGGGGGTGGTTTTGGGTTTGGTTGGTTGGGGTTCTTTAGGTGCTGGTTCAAGCACTTTCCCTGAAGCAGAGCAGGGCATTCCGGGTCGCTTGTCTAGCACTCGAATCTCTAAATATTGAGCCTACGAACTCATCTGCTTTTTCCTCTGTTTATTTTCAGCTAAAAATATCTTCCGAGTTCGTTTCCAAGATCCCTCCCTGGGCCAGTCCCACACGCTTCAGGCCAACGACGTCTTCCACAAGCAGCAGTGGGTGAATTGCATCCGAACCGCCGTGGCTCCCTTCCAGCGGACTGCGCCCGCCGCCGAGCTGCAGGAGCTGCCCGAGCTGAGCGAAGAGTCGGAGGAGAACAACCCCGCCGCGCCCAACGTCCCGGCCCAGAAGAGGCAGTCGCTCGCGTCTGGCGTCACCGAGATGGAGCTGGACGAAAACACGTCCGAGTGCAGTTCTGTCCTGGACTCGGATGAGGGGAAGGGTCCGAAAGCTCACAGGACGTCGTCCGGGCACAGGAAAACGCGGGAGAAGCAGCTGAGCAGCAAACGGAAAGAAACGCTCGTGTGAAGAGCCCGGCACCGATCCCGGTGAAAGACTGTTTATTTATAAATAACGTGTACATTTTTCTGTGTAATGTGAGCATGATTTGGATCCACTCTGCTGAACAGAATGTTTTTCTGGTGTTTTTTTTTTCATTTTTTTTCATCTTGTAATGGCAGCTACTGGTAACAGTTAACGCTGTTGAGCTGGAGTCTGTTTTTACAAACTTTGAACCTGATTTGAGTGCCGCGAGCGACTCGGAAGCCCTCGTTGCTTCCAGCCGCTCGTGGCAAATTCGAAGAGCACGCTTTGACTTCTCAAAGATTTCCACGTGCGGTGTCGGAGGCTGGAAAACAGTCAAGCTAAAGCAGATCAACACTGCAAGAGTCCTTTTGAAGGGGACTCAGAACCTGAATTCACGTTTTCTTCTTGTCTTGCACAGCACCGGGTTTGCGGTGTGGTTTTCAGCTTTTCATGTTAAAAAAGAAAAGAAAAAAAATAACAAAAAAGCAGGCCTCAGGTTCAACAGGTTTTCAATTTACCTACTGGAATCTTTCATCTTAAGTGTGTCCTTTGTACATTCCTCATTTTCACTCTTGTAACCTGCCAGATATTTAATTCTTTTTTATTAGTTGTTCTGTTTCAGGTTGGTTTGGGGGGTGTTTTTTTGTTTTCTTTGTTTTCTTTTTTCCCCCCTCTGTTTTTGTTTTGTTTTGTTTTTTACTTTTGTATTTTGTCATTGTTCAGACTTGGCATTTCCTTTCAAGTACTTGATCCTTCTCGCTCCGAGGTGTTCCTCACGTCACTCCACGGCTCTGCGGAGCGCGGGCGAGCCGTTGCGTCACGGGGTGACGCTTGACATTACCCCGTTAACGACGAGCAACGCGAACGGCTCGTGCGCGCTCCGCACAACCAAAAGAGAACTGCATTGCTCACGGGGTTTAGGAAGGTTTTAGGCACGTCGCAGAGGGTTTGGGGAGGGAAAAGGAACAGCAGCTAGAGAAGGGGAATAGCAGGGATCGAAGGTAGAGTTATTTTATTTTTTTGTTGTTGTCACTGTTGCCTTTTGGAAATGAAACGCCTTCCGTGGGGAGGCAGGACTGGAGGCAACCACGGGGTTATTGCATGTGGTAGAAAGAGTAGAGAAAAGAGAGTATTGAAGCGGAGGAGGTGTAAGGATGGAGGAGGAGAGGAGTTGTATATACTCATAACGGCGACACTGCCGGGTTCTAGCGGTCCAAAGATTTGGGTGAGAAGCAGCAGCTCGGTGACCACGCTGCGAAGCGGGAGGCGAAGCAGTGACAGCTTTGGGCACAGCCAATAGGTTGTTCCCGTCGCTCGACCGGGGACGTTGGGGTGAGCGCAGCCATCCCACCACGCCTGACCTGGAGCGTCACCCCAGATCCGTGCTCGAGGAGCTGTAACTCGCGTGCGGAAGGGCTTAACTGCCCGACGCGTGTTGGAAACGGGAAGAAGCGTGTACATAGATGCACACGGGTGGTTCTCTGTAAATGTGTTGTACAGTTTCAAGTGCCAAGTACAATTAAATTCCTGACAGCCTCTTGCCTGCCTCGTTTCAGTCGTTACCTGGGGGGGGACACGTGCTCGGGCTCTGCGTCCGTGGGCTCCTCCGAGTTGGGGAAAGCTGGGGCTTGAGTCAAAACCCTTTTTTCTGTCACAGTTCCGCTCGGGAGCCGCCGCTCTCGGGGTGCAACAGGGCTCATCTGGTGACTCAGCCCAGCGCTTGCATCACCCTCCTCCCTTTCTGGGGAGTTAAAAAAGGAAGAGTGACCAGAAGCCCTCACTTCCTGGGGACCTGCAGCCTCCTTCCTGGCACAAATATTTAAAAATCCTCTCTCGAGGAGGAGAGGGAACCCCCTGGGCAGACTCCCCTCTGCTGGTGTGGCTTCTCCAGGAGCAG